TTTTCTTAAAATGTTTTATTTAGTAGATATATAAATATTTGATTTATATTTAATTTATGATATATCTAAGTTCAAATAACAAAATTATCTAAATCATAGTTAAAATTAGATAAAAAATTCAATTTTAACAGTTGATGTCATGTATTATATATAATTGTAGTTATTTCAATGATATAAATGTAAAATTTATGTATTGTAAAAAAGATATAACTTTATTTATTAACTTTTACGTATTAATAATGAATATTTAAAATAATTTATTTATCTTATTTTTTTTTTTAAATTTGTAATGGCGTCGGTAATGGTAAATTACCTATTGAGTTTCTAACTTTATGGATTGTAGATGCCGTGACTTGCTTGCAACGCAATCTTCATGCAACGCAATCATACAAATCGATCCATTTGTTTACGGAGGTCGTCTGCTAGTCCATTGCGTTTTACCAGTGTTTTGAGATTAAGTATTATGCTCTAAATCGTATGTTTATGTGACTTTAAAAGGAAACAAAGCTGCAATGCCGGGGTCTGAAGTTAGTATTTTTGTGAATTGCAGAAACATGTATTTTAAACAGAGGATATTATTAAATATTTATTTGACAGTTCTGCTTGTCAAATCGTATCATTATCGTAATTATATTATCAACTAAAATTTCAAAAGAAAAAATATAATGAATAATTTAAACCTTCCGACATTTAACTTTTTATTTTTTCTGCTATATAACTTTTCAATCGTTGTATGTATAATATTTTTTATCTAGGACAGTACGACGGAACTCGGAGAAATAGAAAATGTCAGAGTTGTAGTTCGCGTTCGACCTTTAAATGGAAAGGAGTTGGACGGGCACTCCAAGAATATAGTACGCGTGGATACCATTAATAGTGAAATAACAGTTGAGAATCCTAATGCTGCCCAAGGGGAACCACCAAAAGTTTTTTCTTTTGATGCTGTCTTTGATACTGATTCGACTCAAGTTGATATTTACAATGAAACTGCAAGACCTATTGTGGATAAAGTATTGCAAGGATATAACGGCACTATATTTGCATATGGACAAACAGGCACTGGTAAAACGTATACCATGTCAGGTGCAAAAACATCTCCACAACTTAGAGGCATCATCCCTAATACCTTTGCACACATCTTTGGACATATAGCTAAAGCTCATGATAACCAAAAGTAAGTACTTTTTATAAAATAGTAAATTGAAATTTCAGCCATGTATAATTTTTTACTTAAGCATGTTGTGTATATTAAACATTTAAAAAAATAATGTTTAATGTACAGATTTCTTGTACGTGCAACATATTTAGAGATTTATAATGAAGAAGTTAGAGATTTATTGGGTAAAGATCAAAACACAAGATTAGAGGTAAAAGAAAGACCTGACATTGGAGTATTTGTAAAAGACCTTAGTGGCTATGTTGTCAATAATGCTGATGATTTAGATCGAATAATGTCTCTTGGTAATAAAAACCGTAAGTATTCTGTCAGATATCCCTATGAACGACAAATACTAATTTACAATTTAGTAAATATTGATATGAATCATTGAAATAATGGAATATATAGCAGTATTTGTTAATTTATGATAAATTCTTATAAATGACTGCATATTGTGTAATATTTATATAATTTATAGGTGTTGTTGGAGCTACAGCAATGAATGTATCAAGTTCTAGGTCACATGCAATATTTACAATCACTGTTGAATCTAGTCAGCTTGGTGAGGATGGTGAACAACATGTTAAAATGGGGAAACTTCATTTAGTTGATTTAGCTGTATGAAATCTTTAATAATTGCTGTATTATTTTTTTATTTAAGATATATTCATTAATTTATATGTTATTCTAGGGCTCCGAAAGACAAAGCAAAACAAAAGCATCTGGAGTTCGCTTAAGAGAAGCAACAAAAATTAATTTATCACTTTCAACACTAGGTAATGTAATATCTGCATTGGTTGATGGTCAAAGTTCACATGTGCCTTACAGAAATTCCAAATTAACAAGATTACTGCAAGATTCTTTGGGTGGTAACTCAAAAACCTTAATGGTAACATTGATTTTTCTTTTCTTTCATAAATATAATTCATCAAATAATTGTTTTAATTATTTAAATTTAGTGTGCTAATATAAGTCCAGCAGATATAAACTATGATGAAACTATCAGTACACTTCGTTACGCAAACCGTGCTAAAAATATTAAAAATAGGGCGAGAATTAATGAAGATCCAAAAGATGCTTTACTTCGACAATTTCAAGTTGAAATTGAACAATTACGTAAACAATTGGAAGAAAATGGTACTGAAATCTCAGAATCTGAAGATGAATCTGAAGATTCTGAAGAAACAGGAGAAACTAGGCATGAGAAAAAAGCGCGACGTAGAAGAAGTCAAATATTAACAATGGAAGAATTAGAAGATAGAGATATAGATTCCAATGAAAAAATTGACAAAGCTGAGAGAGAAGATAAAAGTCCTGATGATAAAGATGTCATAGAATTAAAAAGAACTCAGTAAGTTTTTAGGAAAGTTCCTTGTGGGCGGTGGTCGGGTCTCGCTTGACCGATACTAGCATCTATATATACGCGTTCAACGTTTTGTTGGGGAATAAAAAATTATTTATTTTTTCTATTTATAATAATATATATAATATATAATAATTAGAACTCTCGTTTATTCGCTATGACTGCGTCTTCCACGCTGACTCGCGTGTGAAATGATTCAACATTAGTCGCCGATTCGGCTGTTTTGTTAACCGCCCAATGTGAGTCACATGTACACATGCTCAGGCTTCAAAACTAGCACCGCAGACCCGGTCATCGTCATCCGAGGGTTAGAAAATATGGTATTTATAAAATACTAATTATTCTAGGAGTGAAAAAGAAGCATTACGAGAGAAAATGCAAAATTTACAAAATAAAATTTTAGTCGGAGGTGAAAATTTATTAGAAAAAGCAGAAGCTCAAGAACAATTACTGGCTGCTGCAGCAATTGAACTTGATCAACGTAAAAGTAGAGAAGAACAATTGAAGAAAGCTATTGAAGCAAAGGAAGCTGAACGTATTGACATAGAAGAGAAATATTCTTCCTTGCAAGAAGAAGCAGCAGGAAAAACTAAAAAATTAGCTCGAGTACATACAATGTTAATGTCTGTTAAGGCAGAATTATCTGATTTACAGCAAGAACATCAAAGAGAAATGGAAGGCCTTTTAGAAGGAGTTCGAGGTATTGGGCGAGAATTACAACTTCAAGAGCTAATAGTAAACAGTTACATCCCTGTTCAATATCAGGTACACATAGCACTGCAGACTTTAATAAAAAATGCTGAGTATTTATACTATGAAGTTCATGTATCAACCTTATTTTAGACAATGATTGAAAGGTATGTTCATTGGAATGAAGATATTGGAGAATGGCAATTAAAATGTGTAGCATATACAGGTAACAATATGCGTAAAGCACAAGTTACCCCACCAGTAGGAAGTAATAAAGATGTACGTATTAATTTTTCATGAACATCCAATATGTTTTAAATATATATATATAACTTTTATTTATAGCAAATTCAACCTGATATGTCCAATCTATATTTCTCTTATAATAATGGAATCGACAATACTTTTGTGCAACCAAAAAAAATACGTAGTCGATCTGGAGTTCCAAGGCCAACTACAGCACATAGACGTACACCACACTAAAACTATGTTTAAACTATAAAATGATACAAATATTTATTTTTCACTAAGTACCTTTTTTAGCATTTTTTTAAAGGCATTATTCTAATTTATTTTTGTTTATATAATATATATGAAAACATCAGTATTTTCTGCAATTATACATTTATTTCTACTTTGAATCAGGTATATTCAATTTCGTTTTGAATATTGCACAAGGAAAAAGGATATATAATACAGTAGGACAATATTCAATTAAAAAAATCAATTCATTGAAAATTACGATTTCTGTAATTACACAATTTAAAACTACATAATGTAAACAAATTAATTTTTGCTAATTTACATAAACTGTTATATAATGACAGAAATTAGGTCTAAATTCCATAAAATTTAAGATTATTTCAACTCAGGTAATTTCATATATTATATACATTATAAAAACTTAAACGGAGTACCATAACAGTAAGATTGTATGTTTTATGTATTTATATTTTTCTGTGATGTCTATGAAATACTAGATAATGAAATTTGAATCAATAATATTAACTTTCATAGAAACTACATTTTCATATTTAATAGCATGCAATATAAGTTACTATTAAATAGAGAATTGGTATAAAGATTCTAGAAAAGAAAAGATATGTGCTGTACCTGTGTGATAAGAAATAAAATGTTTTGCTCGATATAGGAATATTAGAAATAAATGTAACTGAAAAGAACAAGAATGCAATCTTTATCAAAAATTTATTAGCAATCTTATTTCTTTTTACATTGCCATTTATGTATATTTTGATAAAGACTAGATTTTGTAGCTTGATAATAATAATACAGTATTTCTATAGTATTTTTTATCAAAATGTTTTATTACGTTTATTTAAAAAAAAGTAAATAACTCGAATCTTCTTTAGGAACTAATGTCTATTAACATTTGCTTAAATATTTATGTCAATAAAGTTACAAGGAAAGCACATCAATATAACAAAACAAATTTTTAAATGTATTTCGATTATTTTTTATTCATTGTTATTGAAAATACTTTAAAATTTTGTCTACGTTTTAACATTTTATTAAAACTCATACATTCTTTAAGTACTGTGATAATGACATTTTTGTATTATTCCCAATTCTGTTTATCTATTACTTAAAACAATTAAGGTATTAGATGTTTGTAATTCTTATTGTGTGTATGTTATGCTTTTTTATATATAATTTACGAAATAAAAATAAATAATTATGAACGGATGTATTTGATTTCATCTAATTCATCTTTTTTAATACGCAATTTATCAAGATTTCCTATCACAGCATCAGAGTACAAACATTCAATTAATGATTTTCATTTTTATTATGGTATTCTTGAATCCATTTTTTGATAAAGAAACGATGATATTTTCGTGTTACAATAACACTATATGGATCATTAGGATTACTACTTCTTAAATCAAGATGATGGGCACTTTCTGGAATTATTATTGCTATTGCTGAAGAAGATAAGTTTCGTAATACTCCACCACTAGACCATGGATCCATTAAACCATTACTAAATAACATACAAAGAAATGCATAAACAAAAAATTATTATAAATAATAATTATAGATTATACTAGATATTTATACTTATACATGAAACTCGTATTTTACAATTTAATTTAGATAAATTGAATATTATTTGATACCTAAAAACAATATTTGTTGCAGTTGATAAATCTTTACATCCATATCGCTTGCATACTATATTTGGTTGTGGTTTTACTGAAAATTGTTTCATACAGTCTTTGCTATATTCATCCATATTCCATGAATGTGGTTCAAACATATCATTCACTCCATCTGAACATATTGGCATTACCATTTCTGTGCAAGCTTGATAAGGCCACTCAATAGCATCTAATTGGGGTGTAGAATCATTTAAATTTAAACATTTTGTTTGACTTGTATAATTGGTGAATATATTGATTGCTTTATTTATTGCTGTTAATAATTCAGTATCTATAAGTGACTCATTTGTTAAGTGTTTGCATACAGCCTGTAAAAGTAAAGTTTTGTAAATTACAAAATGTACATAAATAAAATAATTTTATTAATACATTAATTAGTATTATTACATTAGTATAATACATTAATCCAGTAATGGATTGATTAAAAATTAATATACCTACATTAACAGGATAAGCAGGTAATGGTGCCAAAAAATTAGCTTTGTATGGGTAATTTACCATAGCAAGATTTGTATAAATATCTTCCAAATAAGATATTAATTGCTTGACATCACTTTCATTTTTTAGTGGCTGACATAATTTCCAATTATCTGACAACCACATTTTTCCTTTGTCTATAAGAAAAATATAAAGTAGTTTAAAAAATATATTACATAAAAAATACAGTAATTAAAGTAACAAATTATTTTAGTACCACTTGATGTTATATTGATAATAGTATTCCATGATTTACGAATAAGTTTTGGACAATTTTTATGAGCTTTCTGAAAATCTGAGGTAACTATGCGTACAAAATTTTCACAATCTGTAACTCCACTAAATTGAAGTATTGGAGCTGAAGATGCAATTGCTCTGTAATATTATAATATTTATTTATTTGTATGAATGTGTTACATTATATTAGTTTTGTATTTATAGCTTAAAGTTTTTCACTAACCCTTGTACAATATGAGGATATTTCATGCGTATCCATGCACTAAGCATACCACCATATGAACCACCAAAAACTATAACAGGACTATTTTCATATCCTGGTTTAGATCTCAAATATTGAATTAAATCAACATAGTCTGCAAGGGCTTGTTCACTTGTTAAATATCCTAAGTGACTTAAATTTACATTAGAATTATTGCTATAAGGCATAGATTCTCCATAATAACGATGTTCAGCAAAAATTAATAAAGCTCCAAATTCTGGTGCTATCTCCCACATAAAACCCTAAATTTAGATCAAGATAAAAAATAATATTTGAAAAATCTTAAAAAATATTAATTACAGGAGATAAATTAAATTATATCTATAAAATATGTTAGATTTCACTATTTTATATGTTGTACTTACCACATTTTGTGCAAAAGTTTCTATATTACCTTCATTTCCAGTATAAAAGAATATTGGTGCCTTATCTGTTTTTTGCCAAGTGTTATTTATAAGATACCGTAATTTAAATGTATCTAATACTGAAAAACTAAAGTGATCCACCTGTAATATTTTCAAACATTATATCATTTTTTATATAATATTTATTAAAGTTATTAAAGTTTAGCAAGTTAGAAGTATAAATATATTTAGATTTTTGTTCTAAATTATAAGTTGATAATTTATAAATATGAAAATATGTACACATTAAGTAGTCAAAAAGTAAATATTCAATTGTTCATGTTTAGTAATTATTAATACTAGAAATTTTATATCAAAACTTATTGTGACCACATACTGGCATATCAATTGTTTTAATCTCATATTTGTATTTCGCGCTGTGTAATTCGTTTTGAATGCGCGGTTCTCTTTGATAGTTTCTGTAAAATTTATTTAAAAAAAAATGTTGCGTTGTAGGTTGCCACAATGCAATAAAAATTAGGAGTAAAATATTATAATGCTTCATCGCAATGCGTTGTCAACGAGTTCCAGATTCCAACTGACAATGAGTTAATTTGCAATGACCAATAACGGTCTTCACGGTATTTCTGTATACAAGGTGTATCAAAAGTTTTATATAATTTTGTTCTTTTTTTCTTATTTTAATAGGTATAGCACAAACAAAACAATAATATTTAAATAGAACATCATTCTAATACATTTTGTCTAATGTAATTTAATATGTTATTTATAAAACACATATTAATTAATAGCATAAAGTGATTAAATATTTTAGAGCTAAAAATATACATATTTGACATGTTTTAAGATTTACTTATAGATTACCAAATAGACGAAATAAAAAGTTTTTATCGCTTTTTTAATAACACAAATATTATTTTATCACTAAATTTTGTATATCTTTAACTATATTCACTGAAGCATTTTTCATAGATATTATAAAGATGTCTATGTGACGTCCGGAGTAGATTTCAATTATTAGTAAACTATAATTCTGTTTCTGTCATAACTAGATAAATATGACATTACAAATTTAATTTAATATAATAAACAATAAAATTACCTCTTTATTGAGGATGTGTAAAAATTTAATTAAGTTTAATCACAAATCTTTTATTCTAAAATATAGCTTACTGAAAGATTGATAATAAGTTGTTTGTGAGTGTAATTTTGTGTGTTATCTATTATCTAAAAGTATTTTTAAATATAAAAATAATAAAGATATCGTCAATGAATCATGCCTCTGTAAACAATCATAAGATAAAATACAAACTTTTATGATATTTTTTATCTTTTTCATACAAACATATAAATATCGTATAGAAGATAGTAAATTTGAGATATTTTACACACTAGATATTTGAAAATAAGGAAATAAACGTGAATAATTTTAAATGTAAATAATATGATTAATGCAAATCTGGAAGAACAAAATGTAGTAATTGAACAGATTAGCATAAAAAAATATTCGCCCGTGAATATATTCATCCTATGGAATATAAAACGTGGAGTTTATACTGAAATATGATATTAAGAGTTTTAGTTAGCACAAATACTTCCTGACTTTATAATTTATGGCAATATGTTCCATTTGCTGTAAAATATCGTCAAAAGTTTTTTGAAGTTTTAATAAATACATGTTTTTTAAGATATAGAAAAAATTATTTACTAACGATGATTTACTACTATTTATGTTACTAAGGAACGAATTTTTTAAATGTAAATATCAAATAAAAATATATCATTATCAAATAAGAATATATTTCATATTCATTAACCGAAGTAGTAGTTACGATGAATTATACGTAAATGTATTATTAAACAATAAAATTACATACAAATGAAATAATTTTGCATAAAAAAAGCTGTCAATTTTATAGAAAATTAAATATATTTTATTTTCAATAAATTTCTTTTTACACGTGTTGATATGATAAATGGATGTATGTTACTACAGATAAGAAAAGAAAATAGGAAAAGTGTAGTATAATTGCAATTTTTTATTAACCTTTTAATATTTAAACTTTTGTATTGGATTTTGCACGTCGATTCAAAAGCTTTAAATTTCATACGAATATATAAAAGTTCGAAAATCAAATGATTGTCTCATGTTGATGAATTTTCAGTTTACATTATTTTACATAATTTTGATAGAACGATACTTTGCACGAATTGATAAGAATTATGTATCATGTTACATAATCATATTTATATATTACAATATTATTTATAGTATACTTTGAATATTATAGACTTTTTAAAAATTATTCAAAATTAGGAGAAAATACATAATGTAACTTTCAATGATAATTTAATTATCGTAATTATAATTCGATTATTCCGATTATTGTAATTTAATTATTATATATAAGCAGGAATATTATATTTCATATTAAACTTTTTTGATGAAATATAATACACAGTTAGGATCATTTTTTTAAATTTTCGTAGGTTCTTTATTTTTTTTCACATGATTTCTTCATTTAAAAAATAATTATAATTCAATAGTTTACTTAGCAATAACATTAAATAATGTTTGCTCATATTAAACAATATCAAATTGAAAATCGTAATTTATGATTTTTTAATCTTCACAGATATCAAAATGACTACTCAATCTATTATATATATATACGCAATTTGTATATATAATAAATATAAAATTGTTCAAATCATATATATATATAATTTGTATACTTTTATACTTGTTAATTGTAATGGAAAGTTAAATTGTATCTATAAACCTCCGTTGGCAAATATTTATAATCATATCATATAACATATAAGCTTATAATAGAAAGTTATATTAATATAATTAATCCAGGTTTTAGTTAATTTAAATTGGGTAATTAATAGACACTGACATAAAATCTTTATTACAAAAAATAAATTAATTCACTCTACATACAAAAATACATAACTAATATTAATAATACTCTCTATTCAGTGATGGTTTAATAATTATACTATTATCAAGAATCATTATTATCAAAGTATGACAGTAATGACACCGGTAAAATTAATAGTGTGTAATGTACAATATATAATGCATAAATGTCATGAATCATATTCAAGATACGATAAATTTCCGAAATATATATTTTTCATTATAATGTCTCTTTTGAAAATGTGTTTTTTTTCTTTTAAGAATTAGAAAACACTTATTAACAACTAGTTTTAAAATTGGTATAAAAATTTTATAAAACAAAACTAATCGCAACAGTCTGTAGTTTGATAATTGAGAGTATAATACACGCATAGTCGCTCTTACATTATAAATTATAAGATTAGACAAAATTATGGCTTCTTAATTCATTTACAAAAATGTTTACATGTACTAGTTTGTACAAAACATTTTATAGGTATGTGCTCAAAAATTAAATAACATCAACGAAAAATTTTGCATATTTAACATTGTTCAGAACAATGTCCTAAATACAGATGAATATAAATTTCTTCAATTTCAATAGTCAATATATTGATTATTTAATTTGACTTTGCACATCAAGCATAAATGTAAAATTTATATATATAACGTGAATTTCTATTAATAAGGTCATTATCTATTTTGTACAATCTTAATATTAGTATCTCTATAATTCCTCTTAGGATATATAAATTGTGAACAATTTCTTAATACTCAAAGGTATACTTTGACATTTTGAATTACAAAGAAGTTACATTTATTTTACTACAAGGATTTAATCTATATTATATCTATGAAGATGACCTATTTTATATGAAAAAAGATCTAATAAAGATCCAGTCTTGCATTATAATATTATGTCAAAATGTTCAGTGAGAACATGTGACTAAGACTTTGTGTCTCACTTATATGGGAGTACTTATTTATACTTCAAATATAAATCATTTGTAAAATTATGAAATAAAATCAATAAATCTAAAAATCATTCTCTTCTCTTTTTACAAGTTTGCATTTTCTCAACTAATATATAAATTTTAGTAATTAATTAGTACTCTCTATTAATTAACCGGGAATTGTACTTTAGTATTCTCGTTTAGAAAATTACATTATTGTTTGCTGTTTCATTAATGAAAGGCAGCAAATAAGTATCATTAATTCTATTAATATACATATGTCACTTTTAACTTATTGGTCCCTAACACAAAAATCTTCTAATAGAGTGTTGTACAATAAAGTGCTTTAAATTAAAAAATATCTAGCCTCTTCTAACTACTTTTTGCTTTTAAACTACGAAAGCTATATTGCATACTAAATTATTAATACATACTTCAACATTTACTTTTGTACTTCAGTGTAAGTCGCATTTGTTCTATCCTTTCAGTATACTGACATTCAAGTTCTTTAAGCTTTGTTGCTACTTGTTCTTCTTGAGTACTAATGATTGCTTCAAGTTTTTGTTGTACTTGATTCATGGCTCTTTTGTACCCTTCTTCTATACGTTTACATTCACTTAATAAAAACTTCTCTTTATTTTCTGCATGCTCCTAAAATAATGTGCATATTAAATGTGAAATAAAGCAAGATTAATAAATACTGTAAGATAGGTACAATTTATTTTGAGGCTATACAATTACCTTGTAATTATTTGCAGTCTTTTTTGCTGACTGATATTTATGCTTTAATGTATCAACATTAGTTTTCATTTCTTTTTCTTTCTCTTTTAATATTTTTATTTCTGTGTTTAATTTTTCTTCACTTTTCTTTAATTGTTGTAACTTTTCATTCATTTCAATTTCTTTATCTTTTATTTCCCTAATCTCTGCAGCCCATTTAGTCATAACCTGAGCCATCAAATTTCTCTCCTCGTCCACATCACTTTCTTTTTGCTTTAATTCTTCCTGTAATTTTTCGATTTTCAACTTTCGTGCTACCAATTCTTTGTAGTAAGTTTCAAGTTTGGTTTCAATCAGTTGACTAACAAATTGCTCCTTTGCTTTGAAAGATGAATGAATTTTTACCTTTTCTGTAAGCATTGCTGCTTTCAATGTTTCCACTTCCTGCGTCTTTTCACTGCATCTGGTTTGTAGTTCTAATAAAACTGTTTTATATCTTTCTTCTAACTCCTTTCTCTTCTCTCGATGCTGTTCTTCTATACCTCTAAGTTCTTCGACTACTTTTTGCTCCATTTCTTCTCGTACCTCTTTTATCATAATTTCTTTTATTTTTTGAAAATCAGTACCATCACTTGAACTACGTGGTGATAAATTTAATTCAGCAGATACTTGTTTTTGATTCTTAACATATTGTTCAAATTGCTTGGCTTGATTTTTTAATTTTAAGACAAGTTGATCTCTCTCTACTTTTATTTTTTCAAAGTCTTTTAATCTTTCTAGTTCTTCATCCTTTTCTTGTAAATCTTTTTCTAATTGTTTGATTTTTTGCTCCATAATAAGATCACTCTTTCTACCAGCTTTCAAATGATTTATCTTACTACTTAATTGTGTTACCAGATCTTTGTAATGAGAAAGTTCTTTTTCCAATTCAGATTTTGAATTTAGTGATATTTCACTACTTTTTTTAAACTTACTTTCGAAATTTCCGATTATTTTTTTTGTTTCTGATAATTCTACCTCTAACTGTGAGATTTTATCCTTGTAAATGTTTCTTTCACTAATCAAATTTTCAGACTTATTTTTTAAATCTCTATTTTCTATTTGATACCGAGCTTCCTTTAATTTTACATCGTCGGAATCTTCGATCTTTGAATTTCTCTTGATATTTGATAATTCAGAATCAAGTTTAGAAATCTTAGTAATAAGACTATTTCTTTCACTAATTGCATTTTCATATTTTTTTTTCCATGACTCTTGAGATATTTCCATCTGTGCAATTTTTAACTTGGTATCATCTAATTCAGATTGATATTCCAATACCTTTTTATGTTCATCAACTGCAGCATGTAATTTGTCTTCCAAACGTTTACAATCTTCTTCTAACTACAAATATATCAAATTTAATTAATTTGTGTAGACTATTAACTATAAACAAATAATTTTGAATAAAATGTACATACCCGATTAATTTTTTCCAAATGTTCAGAACAATGATCTGGCAAGTGAACGCTTATTTCTTGATTAGGGTGGGCATTGCGTAATTCATTTAAAGCTTCTTCTTTTGCTGTAAATTTATAATAAGGTTTCATTAGAACTATAAGTGTAACAAAAAGTATATAAATTTTATTTACTTATACTTACCCCTTTCAATTTCTTGATGAATTTTCTTTGTATATTCTTCTTTTTTCTTTCTTTCATAATTTAAATCTTTTTCTAAATCAATTACTTTACTTCTATACATGTCACATTCCTCTGTTAATGTTTCTGCTATTTTCACTTGTGCCTGCAAGTCATGTTGATATTTTTCTATATCCTTTTCACGTTCTTCTAAGTTAGCATATTTCTCTTTCAGCATTTTGATTTCAGACTTGTGTTCACTTATTAACTGCTCTTTTGTACTACAAACATCTATATACAATTCCTTCACGCGATCCAACTCTTTTTGTGTTTGTTCTAATTGCACACTATAAATTAAAGCATTTGTTTTATTCATTTAAAACAAAATAATATTGAAAAGCACATATATTATTTATGGATATTTACAAAAATAATAGGAATACTTACGATAATTGCACTACTTCAACTTGTGCTTCTTGCCTAACTCTTTCTATAGCCTTAGCATGTATTTCTAAATATTCTTTATTGTACTCATCAATGGCATCTTTCTCTTGCTGATTTATACTTTCTTGGTGTAATTTCTTAAGTGTTTCTTGATTAATTGCTAATGTTTCTTCTAATTTTTGTTCTAATCCTATTTTTTCTTCATGCAACGATTCATATTGCTTTTTTACATCACTAAGATGATTGGATAATTTTTGTATTTGAGCATTTGCCTTCAAAGCTTGATCTGTAAGTACAGATTTTAATTCTTGCTCTAATTCGTTAACACGTTTAGCGTATCGCGCTGCTTCTTGTCGACACGTATCTGTTACAATTAAAGCTTTATCAAGTTCTTTCTCTTTTTGTGATAAAGTATTTTCTAATCGAGTTATTTCCTTTCTTTTAACAGCTTGGCCAGCTAAACATCTACAAATTAACAACATAATGATATAATAACATTATATCAAACAATAATTTAATATAATATAAAATTATTTCAATTAAAAACGAATTACCTTTGTAATTCTCCCCTTAATTTATTTGTTATATCATCATAGGGTTTTGATTTCGATTTATTATGAAAATCACTTAATTTCATTTGTCTAATGGAATCAGATTCTTCTTCTAATGTTGTTGCTAATAATGAATCATATTGTGCTGCATCACTTTTTGCTATCTCCAATTTATTCTGTAAATACATTATTATTTGTAATACAGTCTTTGCATATTTTAAATATATTTTAGAAGTTATTACGAATAAGCTATTTCTTAAATATAAATTAATCTAGCGAATACCTGTAATTCCTGAACCATTTTTTGCATTTCTTCCTTTTCTTGTGTTAAAATTTTAACTTGTGCTTGAAACTGCATTACTTGCTGAGCATTATTTGTAGCCATAAGGTTTCGGCACTGTGCTTGACTTTCTTCTAATGCTTGTGCTAGACGATTCATTGTATCTCCTTTTTCCACCATAAGTGTTTCATGCGCTCTTCTTACATCAACTAATTTATTTTCCAAAGCAACATATGATGTTTCCTATTAAAAATAAAAAAGGCTGAATAACTAAAATTGTTCTAATTGAATAAATTAAAAATATATTTTTTCTGTATAAATAATAAATTTTAATTTCTAATGATGACATCATGCAAGAAAAATAAATATTTAAAAATCAAAGATATAACTTATATAACACAATAACATGTTTTGTACAAGAACATTATAGTTTTCTAAAAATACAATATCAACGACTTGCCCAGATACAATGAGTGTTGGAATCCACATTGAGCAGCTATGACAAATATTATTATTATATATGTATACATAAAAATATATATCCACTAAATTTTTGTTATCTATTTATGTATTAAATTACATATAAATATAATAAAAATTTAACTAATATCAAAAATACCTTTGCATTAAGTTTGTCTGTAAGAACATCTATTTGAGTTTGCATGTTTTTCATTTCAACTGCATGTTTTTCTTGTGCTTGCTTTAAAAACTTTTCATGTGTTTTATCATTTACTTGTAATGCTTGTACTCTTTCTAATACAGCTATTTTTTGTTGTAAATCTATTACAGAATCTCTGGCAACATTTAATTCTTCAGTCATCTAAAATTTGTAATTTACATAATTAAGTAATTAATACATATAATAATATATTAGTAATAAAATTATTATGACAGGAAGTACAAGAAAGTCTTACATTTTGATTAGTTTTCTCTAAAACTACATTTTTTTCTTTTAGTGATGTAATTTGATTGTGAAGATCAGCAATTTCAGCTTTTGCATCAACTACAAAAAAATTTGAGTTTTTATACCTTCTTTTTATAGATGTTTTTACATGAATGCATCTCAATAGATCTTACCTAAAGCATGTTGTGTTTGATTTCTAGATAAGTTCGACCTTTCAATTTCAGCTTGTAAAAGTGTTATTTTCCTACTAAGCTGATTTTTTTCTTCTTCTTTTTCCAATTGCAGTTGTTGCATTTCTTCTGTTAATCGTTTAATTTCTCTCATTCGAACTGTATATAAAACCTCTAATTGTTCCTTACTGTCATACTCTGCTGTTTTATATGCTACATTGTCATTTGTTGGTCTACCATTTGAACTTGCTTTATAACAATGATTTAAATGATCAGATGTAACATTATCACCACCTCCACCGAACTCATGAATTTGTTTACATTGTACATTATTTTCATATCCATCAATATAACCATTATTTGAATAATTTTTATTTTGAGCATCATAATGATTAGCTGGTGTTTGACAATTATATGAATAATTTTCATTAAATGTATATTCTTCCTCTATCTGAGCTCTTAAATCGTTAGGAAATATAGAGTTTGGTGGTCTTGCTAGTTCATAAGGCGTTTCAGCAGTAATATTATGCATATCGTTACTTCTATTATTTTTAGAATATGGAGTATCAGTGTGACCATATGCATTAAAATCTCTCTGTATATTAGAGATTGAAGGAGTAATTTGAAACTCTGGCCTATGATTTGTCATAGTATTGTCATAGTTATTTGAATTTTCAACATGATCATAAATACCAAATTCTTTCTGTAATTGAGATACAGTTTGGTCTTTGGATGCTATAACTCCCTGAGCAGAATTTAACACTGTATTAGAAACTTCTACTTCCTTAGAACTGTCTTGATAGTGACTGTTGTTCATAGAACTAGTGTCACTGTCATCTAAATCATCAAATGCATTGGTCAAGAGGTCCGTAATCTAAAATATCAAAACTTGTCTATTAAAATTATAATTACCAAAACTCTTCCTTTCAAACTAAACTTTCCACTTAATCTGCAGGTTGAGTACAACATTTTTCAACAGAGTTTAGTTAAAATAAAGAAAAGTGCACCTCTTTATTGCGCCGCTTAATGTCTTCTTGTTCTTCATCTTCCTCTAAGCCTTGTGTACTTGTATTTAGACAGATACTTTCTGAGCCTTGAAACAAGCTCAGACCTGGACCCTCCATTCCTATCGTCTGGCATACACGAATTTATCATGAAATCCAAACATTTATACCCAACATATTTTTGTTTATAACACCATAACCTAAACGCAACAAGTGGGTCACAGAAAATCAGTTTGAACTACAATCCTAAGTTTAGAAATAGATTACAAAGTCTTAATAAGCTCATTTTTTATTAATCTCAACAAGTCCACGATAAACAACTCCGAGGTTATTAAACTTTTTAAATGATTATGCACTCTGCAATTTGCTTGTAAACAATCTTTGAAAAGTCAAACTGCATTACAGGAAGTCTATATGCGGAAGTAAGCTTTCTGACTATCTTGGCTTTCCTATTGGTTCCTTCATGGAGTATTACTAGTGTCCGTAGTAGCGTATTTTCTTAAAGAAATATTTAACTGTAAAGAGTTTGCTTAGGTATATGCACTAATAACGATAACTTCAAAGGTATAAGGAGTAACGTTAGTTTCAATATGAAAATAGTAATGCAACGAGTGACAAGAGCTAGTGTTTCAGGTAATGACTAGGTTATATATGTTTTATTGTAATAACTAACTTATCTCTTAAGAAATAAGAATCAAAAAGAAATGTTAAATGTTACCATATGTTTATAAAATAAAAACTATGTTACATTGTACTGTATTTAATAAAATATGGTCAGAATATATGCTTTCTCCTTTCTAATTTATAAAATACAATAATGTAGTATTAAACAATATCAATGTATACAAAGCAATTACACAGAATATAATTTATTATCTATAGAATATAAAGTTATAAAAAAATGTATAAATACTTATATAAATTTAATTTAATTAGAATACTTATAATATTTTTTGCTATTATAATTGTTTAATTTATTCACTATTGATTCAATTGTAGAATAATTTTTCAGTTGATGGTGAAGTTATCAGTAGCATTGGAAATGGTCTCTGCATCTTAATTGGTATAAAAAGAGATGACACGATAGAGGATATGAAATATATGTAATATATAACATTACTGAACTATATTATAACTATAATATTTTAAACAAAGCAGTTTGGTTTTGTAAAATACAAAATAAATTCTTATCTTTCTTAGAGTAAAAAGAATATTAAATACTAAAATTTTTGATGATAATAATAAGAAATGGAGTACCAATATTATGGACAAACAATATGAAATATTGTGTATTAGTCAGTTTACGTTGTACCATACTCTAAAAGGAAATAGATTAGATTTTCACAAAGCTATGCCTGCTCAAGAAGCTGAACAATTTTATAATAAATTTCTTGCTGAACTTGGTAAAAATTATAAACCAGAATTGATTAAAGGTAAATTAGTTATAAGTATAAGCAAGTAATTTTTTATAAAGATATTATAATATTGTATATTTTCATATTTAACCCAAGAGAGAAGTATTACTATCAAATTGTTATTACCTATTTGTTCACAAAAGTAATATATTCATTTCATTGAACATTTTCTACAGATGGTAAATTTGGAGCAATGATGGAAGTTAATATAAAAAACAATGGACCTGTAACATTAGAAATAGAATCCCTAAATAAGCTTAATAAAGCAAATGAATGTGATGATGTATAATGAATATTAATGAAAATTAAAAAACAATTTATAAATGTTGATTAATCATGTAATAGACATTATTAATTTTACAAATTCTTAGACTTCCTTCCCTTTATATTTAATACTTACTACATAAAGTTACTTTTTATAGTATTTGTAGTATACATTGTTTTTGCATGATATAAATTTAACAAAATTAATTTTAATATGATAGACATTAATTTTAGTATAATATTATAAACACAATACTGAGAATTTCTACAAATATATTGCTTTAAGAATATAAAAATTTTATTATTCTATATTATTTATTTTTATTTACTATTTGAAGTTTTAATATGATGTTGATAAACAAAAGTATAAACTTATATAATGCGCGTGTCGTCATATTAGTAGTATGTAGATATAACATTTAAGGAGCTGAAGATGCACACACACATATTAGACAGATATTTTGTCTTTAGGAGATTTAATGTTGCAGATATCGTTTATAGCATATCATAATTAATTTCATAAATGTTATCTGTCACAAAAATTTATATATTTTTAGAAGATTGTTTTTTTTCGATCTGTTTAAACCATAAGCCCTATATAAAACACTTGACGTTAAATATTCTGACGACGTTGTGGAAAATATATCTAGGGATCACTTTGATATTATCAAAGTAAGTGACGAAACGTAGTACTTTATATTAAAATGAATATTAATTCATAATTCCAGGTTACGAAACGATTTCAATTCTGAATAATAACCCCATATCAATTTCTACATAATTAGAACGAGAGTTTTGTTGAATGGTATTGATATGAAATTTAATTAGTATACATATGGGTATTTTAAACAATTTAAAGTCTATATATATATATCACATACAAAAATTATATATGATCATTATATTAATATTACTATATTAACATTGTTAATGCTTATATTTAAATGTTTACATAATGCTATATATGCTACTGTGTAATTTCGATATTTTGGGTATTTTTATTGTTTTCAAAATGTATATCACTAAAAAGAGTACGTTAACATAAATTATTTTTAGTCTTTTTTAATAATAAATTTATTACAACCATCGTTTTTATTTCAGTTACAAATGTTATTGCATAAAAATACAGACATATGTATTATCCAAAGATGACAACAAGATAAATAATAAAGATTGTTTAAAAATACCTTTGATATTAATTTTGATTATTGTATTCTCAAATACTTGAATTAATTAATTTATTAAAATCTTATCGAGACACGATGGAAAACAACCAAATGGAAAAGGAACAGTCAGTAGCTATAGAAAGTGAATATTCAGAAGGTATATAATATTATCGTCACAATTTTTAAATATTAATAATAACCCGTTAAACATAATGAATGATTATATTTCAGATAAATGTGATGTTGCTTCACAAGTAAAAGATACGAAAAATACAAAAATCGTGCAATCACAGAAACCTAAAGCAACCAATACTGCAAATGATGAATTAATTAATTCACGACAAGTATGATAACATTATATAAATTTTAATAATTTAGTATTATTATTTTAATACTTATCTATTATTATAATTATTATTAAAATACTTATTTTTAGTCGCGCGAAATTCAAACGGACATCATGGATATAGAAACAGTAGAAAAATTAAAAAGTCGGCTAGATACTTTAATGAATTCTTTGGCTACACTTTCGGCAGAAAAATCAAAAATGGAAGCAAATTTTCAACAGGATAAAAAACAATTAAGGAACGAACGAGATGACGTGAGTTTATATTATATGTATTAATTTTATATTATATTTGTTGAATATAAAATGTTTACAGTACGAAAAAGTAATAAAAGATTTGAAGGAAAAATTGAAAAAAGCGCAAAACGTAAATAGTTTAGAAATTGAACATGTAAAATGTAAATTAATTATGGAACGTCATGAAAGGGAAAAAGAACAAGTTGATCACGCAAAAATGATAAAGTATGTGGTAAAATGTAAAAAATATATAATTTGCGTTTTTAAAATATTTTAATTTAAAGAACGGTTTTCTTTCGATTTTTTTTTTTTTTTTAGAGAACTTCAGAAATTATTACATGATGAACGACGAAATAAAGAACAACTTGAAGTACAAGTAAAAAATCAGTTTGCACATAAAACGCAATGTAAAATTCTCGAAGCCGAATTAGAAATAACTAGAAATAAGCTAAAACAAGCAGAAGAAGCAGCTAAAGAAACCCCTCCAATTTTATTATCACTCCAGTCTGAAATGGCTCTTATGAAGAAACAACATTTAAATGCAATACATGAAGTAATTTTAAAAGATATATATTTATGAAATTGTTTTATCTGCTACTGACTAATTTATTCTGTAGGAGCAAAAAAGGGCTGCTGCTGCAGAGCAACAAGCTAGAGCATTAGCAATGACTCATGAAGCAAGAGTAGCTGGCTTAGAAGCAAGATTAGCTGAACTTTCAGAAATTGTTGGAGGATATGATAGGCTTAGACAACAAGATCAACAAGCTATTCAGAAACTGAAAGATCAATTAGCTAGTTTACAAGATTCTGAACACAATGATTATATTACTTTGAATACTGAACCAGAAGAAGTTATCACTAGAATAAAAAACCTTTATACCAAATTGTTAGATTTAGATAATAAAAAAAACGAATCAGCATATGTTAAATGTTAGTTGATTGAAAATTCTTTTCCCATAGAAAAGATTTTCCTTATATAAATTCCTATAGAAAATTACATAGTATATAAATGATTATTAATGAATTTTGTTTTTAGCATTATTACATAGTTTGGATTTATATGACAAACAACAAATTATTGACTATAAAGAAAAATACGAAACTCTGCTACAAGAATTTGATGATTATAAGCAACAAATGAAATATAGTAATGCTGCAAATATGTCGTATAATATCCAGAATCAAAATATTACATCATCTCATGATAAAAATAGCAAAACACAACTACATCTTTTAAAATCGCATAACAATAATTTAGAAGAAAGAATACGTGTTTTAAATAATGAGATCCTAAATAAAGAAAGAGAATTGCAATTAAAATTGGAACATAGGGAAAAGGCAAGTTTTGTTTTTTCTTTAACCATTTTTTTAAATTGAATTTAGACTAAAGTAATGAGCATAAATAGTATCATTATTTCTTCAGTTTTATCAAGAGGAACGAGGAAAATTGAAACATTTGTTAATACAGAAGGACAACGAATTTCGTAATAAAATATCTACATTGGAGCAACAATTATTACGGCAACGAGAGCGATCAATGGCTCTCATCGAAGAAAAAGATAAAGAAATTTTAACTTTAAAAACATCCTTTCATGCATTATTACCTAAAAGAGAAAATACCGTAGAAAATAAATCAAATGCATCAAAACATGAAAATGGAACAGAACCAATTAGCGATTTAGTAACAGGATTATTAACGAGCGATAGCCCTCCAATATTACACTATAGTCAAGAATTAGCAAGAAAAGAGGTTCAAGTATCAGCATCTAGAAAAAAGGTTTTAGAACTAGAAGCTACGTTACGAGAGAAACAAAGAGAAATCGTACATATGAAGGAGAAACAAAAAGAAGATACGAAAGCTTTACAAGCTCAAATTGCAAGGTAAATTTCAAGTTAATATACATATTAAAAAACTGAAGAAAAGATATTTAAGTATACTCGATTGTATATACGGTTAACGATTTTTAGACTCGAAGCTTGCAAATCTAGAGAAGGTGCAAATCTTGAATATTTAAAAAATGTTTTTATAAACTATTTAACTACAAGTGATGTTTCTAGTAAACGTCATATGTTAAATGCTATTTCTACAGTACTACGTTTTACTACAGAAGAATTAAATAAGGTAAAACACTAATTAATATTATAAAAATATAAAAAATGTTATTAGTTAATTCGATGTATATCGTAAAATTGATTTACTTTATTGTATTTCAAATAATATTTAAATAATGTACATTATTAATGTGTTCATAAATTAAAATTAAATCTGTTATAGATTTTCAATTGTATCAGAATAATTATTTTTTAAGATTCATATAAAACTATTCGTATTGTAAGAAATTACTTCTTGAAATAATGTATAAATGATGTAATATCATTATATACTAATACAATAACATTCCTTAAGTTATTTATATAATTTTGAAATTTGAAATACATATAAAATAAAAAAAAATTGTTTAAAAACGATTGTAAAACTTCTGTAATTTTATCTAGATATGTAAATAAATTGTAACTTTTACTTTAATGCATATTATTATTTCAAAAGTTAGTCATACAGATTATACTATCAAAGACAGTAATGCAACAAAGTATAGTTTGAAATAAAGTTGTTAAGTCATGCATTTTCATGCATATTTATACTAATTGTAAGTATAGGAAGAAATAAAATATAAAGTTTACGATCAATTTATATTACTTATAATCTTACAATTATATTATGTGGCAAATGTGGACAACTTAGGAGGAAAAATGAAGCTCTTTGTTGACATACGTTGTATAAAGTATGATGTACATTTCAATACATTGATTAATAACATTGCCATTATATGCTCGAACTTACGTTGTCGAAGGAATAATTTTAAATGCACGTCGACGTTTACGTTCTCTTACTGTTACTTTTAGATGTGTAATTATTCTCTGAAATTAATAATAAAAAGTTCAATACGCATCACGTATATATTCCGTCGTATTTATTTATACTCCAGTTTATGCTACGTGCATTATGTACAAAAAGAATGACTAAATTGTGACGACGTTTGGCATGTATTTAGCGTTAAATCTGTCAATGAAAAAAGAACTAAACAACTTATCGATAATGTCTTTGATAAGTTTCAATGTACTTGATTGTACGCATTTTATCGAAGATCTGTACATCTCGAAGCTGCTAAATATTTCTCCCACAAATTCTCTAACAATGTATAATTCAGTTTTTATATCCGTTCCTTCTCACCGGTAATAACATGTCTTCGAAGCAAATCATATCGTCTATATACAGATTAAAAATCCACGCTTCGTTTAATCGTTAAACATCGTCGAACTTTCAATCTCGAGTTGTTAATAAAATACAGGCAAACGATTATCAAACGATCGACATATCCATTATTCGGTTTGCACTTTTACAATAATTCTCGCTAAACATCGTTTTCGACATCCTTCGATATTGCGACAAACTTCGCAAGTCACGAGCTGTCTACTTATCGGGAATAGGCGATCCTTGCACAGGCTTCAAGTCTGAAAGTTTTTACACACACTACCATTTTTTCTCCCTTTCTTTTTCCCCCCTTATCTTCCCGTGACGCGCGATTAAAACGTTTTATTAAGTATCTTCAAGGCATGATGATGTACACCTGTTCGATGGTTGTATTTCAGGCTCAGAATGTCGGCGATTGTCAACACAGATTACAACATTTTATTTGATAACACTTGTTCAATATTTTATAATTAGACGTCGGTATATAATATATATGATTCTTTAATATATATATTTCGTGAAGAATATTTCTTGCGAATAATTATTCCGTATTTATCTGTTTTCTGAAAATTTGTAATCGGTAATCTGCTAAGATTCTTCTTCCTTTCTTTCTTATCTTTTTTTTTCTTTCTTTACATATATAATGATGTTAGTAATACTAATGTACAAAGGCCCTTAAATAACATTTCCCCGAGAAGAGTGCATATTCTCCATGTATACGTTGGAATAACATCTGTTTTCTTTGTGCACTTCATCGAAAAATATCTGCGTTTTCGCGTTTAATATTTAAATTTACTTTAAAAGGAAAAAAAGCCAATTCTTGCATTCCTTTGTGTGAAAGAAGTCTTTCATCGACTATGATGGACTATTTCCCGTATTATTTGCAAGTATCCTTTCTCTCCTTCTTCCTTTTTTATTATAACCTTAATACAAACACTAACACGATATTTTATACAACAATAATATTATACCTATTATAATATTTATAACGATATAAATATTATAGCATCGGTATACATTATCTTACACAATTTGTATTAAAATTATAATAAATCTGAATTTGAGTCTTACAGAAGTTGCGTGTTTAAAATGCTGTTGTCTTGTTAGAAGTTAAATGTTCTCTATCGATGGATATCGGTTTAATGCGTTTATATTATAACCTTACTCCTTAACGTCTTTATGCGACGCCCCTAAAAGCAAGAGAGTAGAATAGTCCATCAATGCCACGGCATTGTTAGACCGCGTAGAAAGAAACAAATTGTCGTTTAAATACGACCTATAATTCGAATACAATCATGACAGGCTGTACGTGGATGTTGCTCTTTTTCTTCTTCTTTTTTCTTTTTTCCTCAAAACAAATACAACAAATAGGCGTGAAATTTTTTTTCCTGGCAACATAACCGTTCGTGATTTCTTTCAGTTCTGTGAAAATAACTGTACGAAAGCAATACAAAACATCTGACGGAGAAAATTTACGTTATGTATTATATTGTTTATAACTACTACCTATTATAGTATTTATTCGTCTTGTTTTCGTACAGTGACACAGGACACCACAGACGGTTAATATTTTAGCGTCATTTCGTGATTTGTTACGTATCGCTGGACAAACTGAGATTCACTTTTGTTGCTCTAAATAAAGCAACCTCGAAATATGATCGGTTAAATGAACTTGCGAATTCGTCGAAGAAGCATCGATGGATGAATAAGTGCCATTTCTTGTACACATCAGAGCAATGTGACATTGTACGAATAAGTAATCGTACGATTGCTACGAACAAGTAATTACGATAAATATTCCTAGCCTTAAAGATATTAATTATATCTTTTATTACGATAAAACGAATTATATTCAAAGTCATGGATCTCTTTGTTATGTTAAAGATTCTCTTTATAACAGATATTTACACCAATGGACCCTATAAAAAGATAAGTAAATAACATCACTTACGAAAAATGTTAAACGAGGAAAAAGAAGAATATTTACGGAAGTTTGAAAAGGTTTGAAGGCAGCCACAGTTTCTACTTTTCTTCTATACAACGATTATTATCATTCGTTATACATTAAGTCTTTGAAATTGTCAGAAGTACAAGTTTCAATGCGATGAAGGTAAATCATTATCGAGATTGTAGGAAAGTTTCAAAGTTCGACGTAATAGAGACATAACCGTATATTAAAGAGCAATCGATATATCGATTAAAGAATATCGAACGCTGCGAGTATCGAATTTATTTCGACTGTTGTAATTTCTTGAAACTATCGTAGATATTATAATTCATTAAAATAGTAATAATAAAAAAAAAAAATCGCAATCAATCCTCTTTGCTAATTAATTATTTAATTGTCAAGTATATACGAAGTACCTTTTCAAAAGATATTCTCATCGTATGTGTATATATCTTTTTAAGAAGATATTATTCCTTCTTACATTCGTCAAGATGTAAATACATGTCCGCCGCAAATGTCACAGTGCTTTCGAGCAAACTTCATGTTACTTTTTGTTATACTAATGTCACGTATTGTTCGGATCATTCTTTAGAAAATGTAACGTATTTGTAAGTCAAAATGGCCATACTGGCAAATTTGGTCCAACAACTGGTTCTCGTTTAAGGGCATCGGAGTTAAAATCTGTCAATCGCGACCAATCGTCTGCATAATTTGTTTACCTGTTTACTATTTACAAATTTATATATATATATAATACACAAAATGGACGAAAAGATGAATATTAAATATGAATATAAATTTGAATTATGACTTTGGATATCAACATTTTGTAATATGCACAGTCTGGTTAAAATTTATTACAAAAAATTCCTATTAAAAAGTTAATTAAAAATCGCAATAAAATTTGCCAGCGCGAAATAATATTACAATTTGAATTTACATTTTGAGACGATTTATGTAACAAATATAATTCGTATTTGTATATAATAAATATAACGATCGGTAAATTGGCAACAATATCGATTATTTTCAAATATTAATCATTAAAAAGAATTCAAGTGTAATTTTACACTTTAGATGCAATTGCTTTTGATACTTGGAATATTATATATATCTATATAGACACGCAGTGATTTACCATAATTGACGTGATATAATTCTTCTGACTCTTTATTAAAACATTAATAGATTGTTCCTACTTTTTAATTATATAAAAAGAATGTAACATTACTTACTTATTTTTTTTTTCTTTTTCTGGTTTTAGATTAAATGATAATTTAACGTTTAATGCACCTTTAAAACTTATCTTAAAAATATACTCTCACTTCGAATATATTGATAAAATAATGGTAAGAGTACATTTCTTTTCTTATATGATATTAGAAAGTAAAAAAGCAATGAAAGACAAAGTAGTTTCGTATACGGAAAACGTATTATAATAAGTATACAGTAATCATATACTCTTTGTAGCAGTCATTGATATTTGATTTACCATTGAAATATCTATTTATTACTAATAATTGAAATTTATTATTTAAAAAAAAATATATATATAAAATATCATAACGTGTACATATACTAATTACATAATTATACATATATTATGTTACAGAATCTCTTCCGTGATCCTAAAATTTTGAAAATGCACTATTAAATGCATTATGGTATTGATATATTTTTGGCTACAATTAAGAAAAATTATCTTTCCATATATTTCGGAGTGGAAAATTTTTAAAGATGCATTAAGTCAAAAGCTCTAACAAGAATATTTTCTTTTATCTTTTTCTCTTTATTATTATTTATTTATACGGAATTACGAAATGTCTGCAGACGTCATTGCGTAGATTGGAACAGATTTTAATACCTCGGCCTATTGTTTCTATAATATGTGTTTTATATATATGCATATGTATCGTGTATATATATGTATGCATTTTGCAAGTTGTTAACATTCATTGTGTCTTTAATGTTTCCTTTTTTCCTTTCTTCGTATAATTATATTTTATTACCTACGCATGTACATACATGTACGTTTTCTGGCACAGTGCATCGATGCTGTACATAATAAAGATTCACTGTATGCTTTTTACACAGAGCCATTTCACCGCGTCTATGCACGACTTATTACTTTTCCTATGCTCGGTATTATTTTCCATAACATTATTCGTGACTGATATAATCGTATAACAGTTTTAAAAATATTTCAGAATTAAACAAGGAATAATAGAATGACTATAATAGATGAATAGCAACTTAGAACGTAATGAAAATATATTACTGCAAGTAATAAGAGTAATAAAAAAAAAAAAAAAAAAAAAAAAGAAGAAAGAATTAAGAAGTAGGTGCATGGGGTTCGTTCAAGTGCGTTCATTTTATACAACTGGAGGAGGGACTCACAGGAAGGAGTTGGGAAGAGAATTACAACGTGGTGAAGAAAATGCCAGTAGAGTAGCCGCCACTTTACTTTACTTCTGTTTTCCTAGATCACAGTCACATGTATGGCTGCTAAATCACGGAACATGTTTCATCACCATTTTTTTTTTTTTTTGGTTTCTCAACACAAAAAAAGAAAAAAGAAAAAAAAAGAAAAGAGGAAGAAAATATGAAAAGTAGCATCAAAATCTTATCAATACTGGAAAATAGTTCACTAGTTTACACAAGTACAAAATATAATATTCCGTTTAAATTCTTTGAAAGGGGCAAGTGCAAGAGACACTCGATCCCTGTTAAGATCTATCCCTGTACACGAGGAGAGGCTATCCAGGGAACGACTTTATTATTCGAGGAATAAACTGGAATACGTTAAAATGTCTCTTTTTTCATTTTTTTTTCTTTTTTTTTTTTTTTAGATATCCGCAACATAAGGAATTTTTTATTAAAAATCATTATTATTCCATCATTGCTCTTCTTTATGTAAATTGCAAATTAAATTACATGGTTAGTATAAAATTATCGCGAATGCTAGAGGTTTTAAAATGAAGATACGCATAATATATAAAATATTCTCCATAATAAAACAATGTACTTACAAAATGAACATTGAACGATATTCGATTCAAGATAACTTGTGCTTTCATAAATGATATTAAAAATTTCTTTCTAAATAAACCATACTGTAAAAAGTATTACGGATCACAAATGCACTCGCATATTCCTTTCCCTTCGAGAAACAACATTATTTAAAATAAAACTACCGTATTGCAATATTTTGTAATAACAAAGACAAGGAGAAACACACGGTAAATAATATGAATGATATTGTTTACGAGGCGTGGCATAAACATGAAATAAATGATTTCTAATAAACTCGCCCTATGAATATTCAAATTTCAACGTTAAATTATATATTTTATATAATAAATATGCTTTAAAGAAAAAGAAAAAGAAAAATTCTGTATTAAAAGGAAAAAAGTAACTTTCTTTCAGAGTATCGTTTATAGGAGTGATCAGTTCAGGTTTCAAGTGTCTCTTCTTTTCAGTAATCGCTTGCCACCGGTGCGTTTAACGCTCCGTAAAAAATAATAAATCAAGAAATGAGTAAGAGAGTAATGTAATTATATATTATATACAAATAATAATATCCTAACACTTTAGGAAAGGGTTAACTTTGGAGGAGGGTGGGGGGACCGTCCCGTGCGCAAGAGTTCATGACATATGAAGGCCCACAATCAGTAAATTTTTTTCTTTTTTTCGTATCCTAATCCTGCCTGCGCTTTCATTATAATTATTATTCTACAAATTACAATGCTCTACTCTACCGTTTCGGATGTACTCTAAATTTTATATAATATATACTCAGTTAGTGTATTGTATTTGTTTCCTATTTACAAAATATGTAGAATAGACATTGTTCCTATCCTAACTACAATATGCGTGCCGTGGCGCGAGACTTTTAAACCTTTCAAGGTGCGCTTTTTTTAATAAACATATCACTAATTACATAATCTATTTTACAGCCAAATTCAACAATCTCCGCTGAAATTCAACGCGTTTCCACCAAA